CCTAGAATGTGGATTCCAGAACTGCACACAATACTCTAACTATGACCTGACTAATGTTTTAGTTCTGGCATAACCACCTCAATCTTAAACTCTGTGTCTCCATTAATAAAGACAATCCCAAATACCTTCTTACTCACTTTATCTACCTGTCCCACTACCTTAAAGCACCGGTGTACATGCACACCAAAGTCCCTCTGATCCTCTGTGTGCTTCCCAGGGTCCTACCGTTCATCATGTACTCCTTTTGCCTTGTTTGCCCTGCCCAACTGCATCACCTCACGCTTATCTGGATTGAATTCTATTTGCCACTGATTTAACCCATCTATATTCTTTTTAAAAATATTCTTAAAAGGAATTTTTTTTAAAGAATTGTTAGTCTTCTGCATTTGTGCCAGGAGTTTCAACAGAATTTCTTGACATAGTGGAACAAATCTTGTTAGGCCAACTTAATGCTGCATGGTTGTCTAAAGCTTGCTCATAACCCTGTTGATTAAATATTGGGAAGAGTGGAGGCACTGCCTTTTGGTCCCAGCTAGCTCTGTCCCCTAGTTACCAAATTCATTCTGCTCTCTGGCAACAGTTTGGGACTCTGCTGCTCTGCTCAAACCTTCAGTGTCAAATTTGATCCTGAGTTGAGCTTCTGACCACACAACAGCACCACCACTAAGATTGCCAGTTTTCCCATCCATACCCTAGTCTCCTTGAGCGTTCCGGATTCTACTTGCTTTGTCATCTGCAGTCATGCTGTCCGCTGCTTGGACCCTATACTCTGTAATCTCCTTTCTTCCACAACCCCCACCTCCCCTCTTTCAATCATCTTTCTTAATATCTCTGCTGTGAAGCACCTGTCTGGATTTTTCTTTAACATTTTTGGAGGCAGTGTGTAAATAAAATTATTGTTATCTGCTGCACGACTTTTTTAGGGTTGATTGCAGTACATGAAAAAATTTGAAACTGTTCATTTTTAAATTATCCTCTGGATGACGAACCATTTCAGAAGGCAGAAAAGAGTCAGTCACTTTGTGCAACCCCAGTCCCACACCAGAGGCCAGTTCAGGCAGGTTTCTCTTTAATTAGAGGTCTTATTTATGGTTACACTTTTTCCAATACATACTATTAATACTAATACTGTTGGTATCCTTTTGAATTGAATCCTGTGGGTCATTAGTCCAGCAACTGCTCTGGCAAAGCCAGATTGAAATGGCCTCTATCACTGCAACTGATTAAATTGGATTTGGGCTTTGTCTCACGATTTCCCTGTGTGTTAAACTTCTGAACTCAGCAGGCTGGTGTGGATGAGCTGAGTGGAACCTCTCTCTAGTTAGGGTTGTACATCTTTCATTTTAAGCTGCAGGATGCCATTAGTAAGGGAGGGATAATTTTTGGGAGAGGTCTGAAAGTTTTTATTTTCGGCTGTACCTCCTGTGTGGTGGTTGCTACTGTTTTGGTCTCTCCTTATTTCTGTCACTACTCTAAAGTACTGTACACAAGATGCTGTCTGAAAGTGTCCTACTTTCTCTAGATTTGAAAGAATTATTTCATAACAGTAATAATATCCACAATACTTAGATTTGTTGTTGTTTTTTGTTTTGGGGGGGGTGTGTTGTTGGGAATGGGGCGGAGTTGTGTGAGCCACAGGTAATCTGCACTCTCTTGCCAGGAGCGTACGCTCTGGTCCAGTACCTCAACTCTGAATGTAAAGTTGTTTTTTTTTTCCCCCCACTTCGTGCCAGCCCAAAGCAAAAATGTTTGTTAAAACTGCTGGTGTAAAGATTGTCTAGCTTGTTAAATGTAATACTGTCACTAACAACAAAAATGCAGCTTAAGTTAAAATCAGCAGTCAAGAATTATTTTTAGTTCGTTAACTTGGAGTGGTCCTCATATCTATTTTGCTTTTGAATGTAATTGGAACCTGGTAGTGGTTGGCAAATACAGCCTAAGAAAGGGGTGGCTCACAGTGTTGTGACTCTGCATTAAGTGCAGCTTCAATTCTCAATATATTTGCTTTGGTGGAACTTCATTTTGATTGACATTAAACCTTAAATCTTTCTGCGCACTTAAAAATGCCCAGTAAGTGTTTTGACTCTTAGGTTAAACTCCTATGAATCGGTGAGTTATACAGACCAGGAAGCCCTATTATAGGTTTAGGATGTATGGAATTAGGCTGAGCATTGCAGTCTTGATTAAAAATGCATTTTGGGTAACACTTAGAATTTAAAAGCAATGCTTAATTGACTAGAAGTGGGTAACTGTGGACTACAAGGTTTAGTTCTGGCCACTTCTATTTACTGTCATATCAATGACTTTTGAGATGGGCCTAGAAATGATGTCAAAATTTGCAAATGATATGGAATCGGGGGATAATGCCAAAGGGAGAAAGGACTGGGAAATTTCTAAGAAGGCTTCGCCTCCAATAGTCCTTCGTGCATCTCTGAGCCAGTTACAGAATAGAAAAGAACATGAATCCAGTCCCTGTTCCTGCCTGTCCTCTCTGGTGGATAGATTTTTATGTTGCAACCAGTGAAGGAACTGGTTTTAGAATGACTTGTCTCAATGTTTAGAGTAAGTACTTTAACAACTTTGCTTTGGAGCAGCATCTTGTGACCAGTCAGCTGTATGTCCTATGAATCTAATAGTTGAATAAATTAATTATCTTGTCACAAAATTAAAGTCTCTGTACACAAGTGAAATGATCTCTGCTTTGAAATAATCACGTGCGTAACCTCTGCTTTTTTTTTTAGCTTCAACTTGGTGCTTTTGAAAAGTATATTAGTGTCTTTTAGCATTCAATTAGTGCTACTTCCTGTCAAATGAAGCTGACGGGTTCGGTGGTCAAACATGGCTGTACTCTGCAACAGTTGAATTTTGGTGAAGTGCTAGGTTTTATGTGGTGCTGCAGGCTAATTCAAATCTGCTTTATTTAAAATAAAAGTTGATCTCATCCGCAATGTGATCTACATCTAGAAGTTTTTAATGTTTTTGTCTTTTTTTTTTAGTTTTGTAAATTCTCTTTCCTCTAGTTTCCCAGGACACTCTAGGTTCGCTGATGTTTTGTTGGCACTTGGGTATTGACAGCTATTCCACACCATCTGCAAGGAGCCAGGTGCCTCCCTGGTTTCTATTTGATCCTAAATCTCCCCTTCAGCTCTTTACCCCTCCCATGCCTGACCAGACTTCTGAATGTTAGTCTGTTTCCTACTTTGGCCTTCCCCACGGGCAATATCTTGTGTTTGGAGTTGCATGTGACCCATTGTCCTACAGGCTATGGGATAAAGTACTGGGCAAGGTGAAGTCCTGCCAGTTACAGATTTTGAAATCTTGAATTTTGCAATGTGGGTTGGTGAGATCTGGGTAATCCTTAAACTTGGAACATCTGGCTGGTGGTAATCCAATTAGTTAACTGCCCACTGCCCTGTGACATTGACTTGTACATGTTACCCACTGCGGGAGTTTGCAAAGTTGTTGTTGTTTTTGAAGAGGGTTTGATGGATGCACAGTATTTCCGAACAAGGAAGAAGGATTAGTACTTTTCCGCCCAACTCGCTGAGGTGGTCTTTGCTCACCTCTTGCTATAGAGCCAGACAGGATGGAAGATGATGAAAAACACTTGTGAACATGCTAAAAGCAGGTTAGCCACTGTCCTGACTGTGGAGCAGAATCAAAACTTTTCAAAACCACTTTTTTTTTTCCCTTTCTTTCTCTTTCTCGTTTGTTTTTGTTTTTATGAACGTCTGGGAAAAAAAGGTAGATTTAAAAAGACATAATGTAGGGAAGCCCAAAGAGGCAAAGGTACACTGCATTAATTAGAGTTTTTGTTTTGTAACAGGAGCTTCTGAGACAAGCTA